TTAAAGTTAAAGGAACTGATATATTCAAAGAACATATAAAAAATCATATTAATCTTATTGAAGGTATATATATAATTATTCCTTTATTAAAAAATATTAATCGTCTATTAGAATTTCTATAAATAATATTAATTAAATAAAATAATCCTGAAGATCTAAAACCATGAGAAATTATTATTAAATAACTACCTAAAAACCCAATTTTCAATAAAGTAAATAAACCAATTAATATTAATATCATATGAACTACAGAAGAAATAGCTACTAAAATTTTTATATCAATTTGAATTAAACATATTAATCTTAATAATAATATACCTATAACTCTAATCATAACAAAATAATAAATAAATTTATATAAATATTTAAAAATTAATAACAACCGAATTAAACCATAACCCCCTAATTTTAATATAATTGAAGCTAAAATTATTGATGAATAAAAAGGAGCTTCTACATGAGCTTTTAATAATCATCTATGAAATATATATAAAGGAACTTTAACTAAAAATACTATTATTAAATAAATTAAATAAATATCTAAAAACTTAAAATTATAAAATTCTAATATAATAAAATCTAAAGATTTATTTAAATTCATAATAATAAATAAAATTAATAATATTGGTAAAGAAAAAATCATTGTATAAAATATTAAATAAAAACTTGATATAATCCGATCAACCCTAAATCCTCAATTTATAATAATTAAAAAAATAAATAATAACCTTACTTCAAATATAAAATAATAAATTATTAAATTTATAGATAAAAAATTTAATAATATAATTATTAATATAAAAATATTTATATATTTATTTAAATCATATTCATTTAATAAATTTATTAAAATTAAACCACCTAATCATAAAGTTATAACTATTATACCTAATGAATAATAATTTAAACCAAAATTAAAAATTTGATACCTCCAATCAACTCAATTTAATTTAAATATATATATCAACCTAATTAAATATATATATATACTTACTAAGAATAAATTTATATTTATAATAATCAACAAAATAAAAAAAAATAAAATTTCTAACATTTTTATCTATAAATAATAATTTAATAATTTATATTTATTTATATATTTATATAAATCAAAATTATAATATCAAAATTATATAAATTAATACAAATTTAATAATATTAATTTTTGATGACCATAATCAAAATTTAAAGAAACTAATAATGATAAACCTAAAACAGCCTCACAAACAGAATAAACTATATAAATTAAAAAAAATCAAATATTTATTTGATTATAGATAATTAAAAACATTAATTTTGTAAATTAAAATTAAATACAAATTTTATAATTAATTTCAAAAAAATTTATCCCTAAATATCTATAATCCCCAAAATTATTGTGTAGGCGCAGGGGAGAAAGATCAGACCATTTATCTTAACACTAGCTTTAATAATGATATTTAAATACAGGCTACATTAATAACATAGATATTAATAAACGAATAATATAAGTGAAAATAAAACTCGGCGTGCTAATACATGGCGCGTGACTCCATGGTCGTCGATGAACAGCCACGCTATACTTCCGGCGTGGAACATACAATAGAAAAGACTGTCGCTCCAAGCGCGGGAATTGTAACTCATCTTCAATCCCCCACTTTACAATTCAGCTGCGGCTATCAATCCCAATCCTTTTACAGCTTCGGTAT